TATTATTACTGTTTATTCCTATTATTACCATTATTATTACTGTTACTACTACTATTATCATTGTTATTAGTACTATTACTGCTGCCACTGTTACTGCTGCTATGATTATTATTGGAGCTGGACGGGCCTCAGAGTCCATCCAAACCAGTTGCCTCCCCACCTCCCCAGTTTTACAGACGAGGTGCGGGGTCGGGGAGGGTGCAGGAAGAGGTAGAATGCTGTGTGCTGGGACAATGATGGTTTGTCCAGGGAGGAGCCGGGGTGACCAGGTAGGGGAGGGCGATTGCCAGCTCTGTTTGTGGGCGGGTTCTAGCTCCTTTCTCCCCAGAGGCTGGGGTGGATTTCCCTGACTCTTTTTCTGCCTGTCTCCCCTCACCAGTGTAGGAAGGTGCGCAGTCTGAATGATTCTGAGAGCTGTGTCTTTGTCCAGACCAACCCAGACTGCTGGAACGATGGTGGATACCTCAACTACCTCGAAGGCATCTTCTGCCTCTTCTCCCCGGACCTCTTGCCTTTGGCGGTCATCCTCTATGTGAGGCCTTGCCCTTGGCGGGAGGCCAGCCTCTCTCTCCCGCCTCATCCTCCACACGGCTGCCCCAAGGGGCCGGGGCAGGGTGGGGGACTGGAGACATGCGCCTCAGCTCCTGGGGTCTAGTGGGTTTCCAGGTGTCAGAGCCCTTCAGTCTGGGGGGGTTAGCTGAAGCAGGGGAGCCCCTCCCTCACCACTCCGAATGGCTTTGATGTACACCCACCCCAACCCTAATTCCCCTCTATCCCTGGGCCTCATTAGGTACTCTGGCTGTTTTATCTCTTCCTGTTTCTTGCTGTCACAGCTGAGAAGTTGTAAGTCTGACCCTTCCCAGGCTTAGGATGGGGAGGCAGAGGGTGGGGGTGGGGATCTACACCCCTGGAGTGGGAGGAAGCCGGGTGTGGTGTCATGCCCAGGTTACAGAGGAGGCGATGGAGGCTGGGCCGGGAGTCGGTGCCTTATTAGGGCCCCCTGTATCCACTGGGTGGCGGGGCAGCTCATGCCCAAGTGAGCCCATGAGCATCACTGGGCATGGTGAGTTGGAAGAAACAGGCCTGTTCGCTCCATGGGGGTCTTGCCCTGGGAGGCTCCAGTGTCGGCCTTTCTCCTCGCAGCTTTTGCCCCAACCTGTCAGTGATCTCGATCACCTTGAAGCTTAGCCATAATGTGGCAGTATCTTTTTCAGTGATATAGTTAGGGAGGATGCCCTGGAGAAAAGGAGTTGGGGTAGGGGCAGCTAGGTGATGCAGTGGGTAGAGCACCGGCCCTGAAGTCAGGAGGACCTGAGTTCAAATTCAGCCTCAGACCAAACACTTGACACTTACTAGCTGTGTGACCCTGGGCAAGTCACTTAACCCCAATTGCCTAAAAAAAAAAGAAAAAGAAAAAAAAAGAAAAGGAGTTGGGGTCAGGGGAATAAATGGGGAGGCCTTGGTAGTGGAGAGAAGGTTGAAAATGGGAAGGGGCCTGGAGGGATGGAGATAAGATTGGGGGAATAGGGATGAGGCTAAGGAGATGGGGGAAGGGAAGAGAAGGCTGCAGAGAAAGTTGGGAGAATAAAGAGGAGGCTAGAGCAATGGGGAGTGGGGGGGGTCTTCAGAGACAGGAGGCTAGAAGAATAGAGAAATAGCCAAGGAGATAGAGGGGAGGTTAAGATGAATGGAGAGGAGATATCTAGAAGTTTGGGAGAGAGAAGTCTGGGGTCATGGGGGAGGAAAGGTTTGGCGTCATGAGGAGGAGAGAAGTGTAAGGTCATAGGGAGGAGAAGTCTGAGTGATGGGAGAGAAGTCTAGGGTCATGGGGAGTAGATTAGGGTTCTAGAGCATGACCTGGGAGAAAAGAGAAAAGGCCCAGGAGATGGAGGGCAGGCTGAGGAGCCTGGGAGGGTCTGGGAAGGTCTAGGGGATGATAGGAATGTGGAAGGTTGGGAGTCTGGGCTGGTCAGAGAGAAGGCCTCAGAACAGGTCAGAGCCTCCGAAGATGGAGAAGATGGGATTCTGGGCTTCTCTGCGAGAAGCTCCCAGGGCATTATTCTGTCTGGGAGGGGTTGGCATTGCTGCCCCTGCAGTGACTCTCCTTGACCTGGTGCTCTCCATGGTGTCACCTTCCTGGCCTTCGGCAATGGTGCCCCCGATGTCTTCAGTGCACTGGTAGCCTTCTCCAATTCCCGGACTGCTGGCCTGGCTATCGGAGCACTCTTTGGTATGGGAGTGAGGGTAGGTGGCAGCTGGGAGGAGCTCCGGATGGGCTCCGGCCTAGCCTGACCCGATGGCGCCATGTTGGTTCCCCTCAGGTGCTGGTGTGCTGGTCACCACGGTGGTAGCTGGTGGCATTGCCATCATCCAGCCTTTCACAGCAGCCTCCAGACCCTTCTTCAGAGACATCATTTTCTACATGGTGGCCATCTTCTTGACCTTCACTGCACTCTACATGGGCAAGGTCACTCTGGCCTGGAGCCTAGGTGGGCCTGTGGGCTGGGGAACGGAGGCCCAGCTCCTATCTCGGTGGTGCTGACAGTGGACCAGTGCGGGTGGGAGGATCCAGAGGGATGCTGAGAGCTCAGGCTTCTCTTTCTGCATGCTGACAGGTTACCTGGGCTTCTACGCCTTCTACGTGTTTACTGTGGTCCTCTCCACCTGGATATATCGGCGGCACTCTGTGGCAGTCCTCTCCCACTCCTCACCTGACCCACCAAGTAAGGGGGCCCCTGCCCTGGGGAGGGCACGGCCCTGAGGAGTGGGAGGCAGTGGGTTCCAGGATCTTGTCTCTCTTCCTTCCCTGTGCCTCTTCGACCTGATCCTCTGCTCCTTCTGAGCCTTGCCTTCAGATACCTGCTTCCAGCAGGTGAGATGATAAGAACCTCAGAGGCCATCCTGAAACCCCAAGAGGTATCACCCAAAGTGCTCGGTGCTAAGTGGAGGAGCTGGGAGTTGACTTTAGAGCCAGCACCAAGTGGTAGAAATCAATCAATCAACAAGCATGTTGTTCAGTTGTTTTTCAGTCACGTATGACTCTTCATGACCCTATTGGAGGCCTTCTTGGCAAAGATAGTGGTTTGCCATTTCTTTCTCCAGTGTGTCCCCATTATATAGATGCGGAAACTGAAGCAAACAGGGTTAAGTGACTTATTCAAAATCATACAGCTAGTAAGTATCTGAGGCTGGATTTGAACTCAGGTCTTCCTGACTCTTGGCCCAGTGCTCTAACTACCTCATTTCCCTCTTACTACTCCAATAGCCATCCCCTTCCCCCTTTTCCAAGCCATTCCACTCACAAGGTCACAGAATCATAGTAGCTAAAGTTGTTATCCCAATTTGATCCTCAAAACAATTGTGTGCAGGAGATGCCATTATTGTTTCCTCCTACAGATGGGGAAACTGAGTCTGAGAGAATGTAAAGAGCCCCTCAGAATTAGGAGGGCCCCAAGAGAGCATGTAGTAGTCCACCTAACCCATGGCTGAGCAGGGAGCTTGTCTATGGTCATTCTTAGAGGTACAGTTGGAGGGGCAGCTAGGTGGTGCAGTGGATAGAGCACCGGCCCTGAAGTCAGGAGTACCTGAGTTCAAATCCGGCCTCGGACCAAACACTTGACACTTACTAGCTTTGTGACCCTGGGCAAGTCACTTAACCCCACTTGCCTTAAATAAATAAATAAAAGAGGTAGAGCTGGAAAGGTGTGTTAGAGCTCTTTGAGTCCTTCCCTTTATTTTTTCAGGTGAGGAAACTGAGGCCCAGAAAAGTTAAATGACTTTCCCAGGGTGACACAGATAGTAAGGAGCAGAGCTAGGTTTTGAACTCAGGTCCTGAGTCTCCAAATGAAGTGCCCCCTCCAGTGTGCCATGATTTCCTCTTGTCCTGAAGAGCCATGGCTACTAGAGGAAGACCTCAAGTGTTGAGGAGCCCATCACAACTGATTTATGCAGAGCTAGACCATCCCACTGCTTCCTCCCCACCCTTCCAGGCTTGACCTAATGCTCCAGTTACCACATTTTGGATGGGGACAGAGGGACCCTGGGCACTGTCCCCTTCCCCCATTGGACAAACCCCCCCCCCCCCCCCGCCCTGCCCCGGAGGTCACCTGCTAAAGAATGTCAGATGTAGGATTAGAACCTACCTCTGGTAAGTCTCAGCCCTGGGCTCTTTCCCCTCTCCGTCTTTGCCCAGCCTTGTCCTTAATCTCTCTTCTGGGTCTTATCTCCCCAGGTAGACTAGACAGAAGTTCCCAGAGGGCAGAGACATTATCTCTTTTTTGTCTGTGGTCACAGCAGATGCTTGGTAACTTTTACTGACTCTTGGAAGGAGCAGATGGGTGTGTGAGTGAGTGACCTCTCCCCTCTCACCTCTACAGTTCTGCCAGTGGACTCTGAGGATAGAAGCTCTTCCGTGGCCAACAGCTATGATTATGGTAAGTCTGGATGGGGTATAATGGATCATAATAACAAATAAATAACAACAGCAACAATATTTGTAGTACAGTAGAAAGAATGCTAGATGTGGAATCAGGACCAGGGTTCAAATCCCAGCCATTTAGTTAAGTCACTTAACCTCTGTGGGCCTCAGTTTCCTCTTCTGTCAAAGCAGTGGGTTGGATTAGATAAACTCTGAAGTCTTTGCTCGTTTTATGTGGATGATTCTTTTGGTAATAATTTGAGGGTTACAATGTGCTCTCGAGTTGGAAGGAGCTGTGGCAAGAGAGGGGAGCTTTTTCTCTAGAAGGGCCGTGAATCCGTAATCAGTCCATTGATAAGCCTCTATGTGTCAGGCACTGTGCTAGGCACTGGGAATAGGGAGAAGGTAAAACAGCTCCTGCTCTCCAGGGGCTTACACTTTATGACATCATTTTGTCCTTGGTGGGAGCGTGGGGTAGAAGGAGGTGAAGAACAATCATATGTCACATGCATGTGAAAAACAGACTTGGGGACAGAGCACAAGGTTGTAGGTACAGGTCACCAGGTCAGTTCAGGCATTCCCCTGCCTCACTCTGCTGTGGTTGAGTAACAGCAGGAGTGGGGCAAATGCCCTGAGATTGTCAGTTATTTAACATTTATTAAGCACCTACTATGTGCCAGGCACTGTGCTAAATGCTGGGGGTACAGAGAAGTCAGTGAACATTTATTAAACACCTACTATGAATCAGGCACTGTGCTAAGCACCGAGGATATAGAGAAGTCAGCATTTATTAAGCACCTACTATGTGCCAGGCACTGGGGATACAGAGAACTCAACATTTATTAAGCACCTACTATGAATCAGGCACTGTGCTAAGCACTGAGGATACAGAGAAGTCAACATTTATTAAGCACCTACTATGAATCAGGCACTGTGCTAAGCACTGAGGATACAGAGAAGTCAACGTTTATTAAGCACCTACTACTGCAAGGCACGGTTGGGGATCCAGAGAAGTCAACAAACATGTATTGAGCACCTACTATATGCAAGGCACTGTGCTAAGCACTAGGGATACAGAGAAAGATGAAGTTAGTCCCTGCCCAATCCAATCCAAATTTATTAAGTGTTGGCCATGTACCAGGGACTGTGCTAAATGCTGAGGATATAGTTAGACAGTCCTGTAATGGAGGGACAACTCTGGACAAAGGCTTCTGGGCAGGGTAAAGTGGAGAGAACAGCATTGAGAGGAATCAGAAACAGTTCTCACTGGAAACAGTGAAAAGTTCCCTCTCTATAAAGAGAATCTTAGAGTTAGAGCTGGGGGGATCTCCAAGGGGGTCTAGTCCAATTCCCCATTTTGCAGAGTCCCAGAGAAGAAAAATCACTTGAGTTAGGTCACATAGGTGTTAAGGAGCACAACTGAGGTTCGAACCCAAGTCCTTTCACTGCAGGACCACACCACGGAGTCGTCTGCTTAGAGTAGCCATTGAGGCTTCTAGAAGGAATTAAGTCACAGGCTGAGGACCCAGGGGAGGTTCCCAGATAGGAACGCTGAGGGGCTGTCAGTCCACATGCACTTAGTAAGCTCCTATTGTATGTCAGTCTATATGCACTTAGTAAGCTCCTATTGTGTATGAGTCCACATGCACTTGGTAAGCTCCTATTATGCCTGAGCACTGGAGATACAAGGAAAGGCAAAAACAGTTTATGTGCTAATGGGGGAGACCAGTATCTAACTAGGTCCGTACAAGATGCAGCCAGTGTAAATGGAAGACAATCTTGGAGAGAACGGACTGGCCCAAGATGGGATAGGCAAGGTCTCACCTGGTCCCCACTTTCTGTAGCAGATGAGTACAGGCCCCAGCTGCACGATGAGGAGTCCACAGTTTGGATCCTGACTCGGTCCCTCAATCCCCTGGACTGCCAGACATGGAAGCGGAAATCCTGGTACTGGAAGTTTATTAAAGTCCTCAAGGTACTTGCGGAGTTGGGGAGTGGGGGGGGGGGGGGGGGTTTGTAGAGAGGGGGGGGGGGGGAGGTCTCCTGGCAGTTCTTTCCTAGGTATCAAGTCTGAGGGGAGGGAATGCTGATTATCTTGTGATTACACAGGACTTTGAGGGTTTTCCTAGCATTTTCTTCGTGATAACCATGGGAGGGAGTCAGTGAGCATTAGCATTTATTTAGCTCCTACTGTGTGCCCAGGCACCATGCGAAGCACTGGAGAGACAAAGAAAGGCAAAAAAGACAAGCCCTGCCCTAAAGGAACTCACAGTCTAATAACAACACACAAATGCCTGTGTACGAACAAGATAAAGACAGGAGAAATTGCTGTCTGCCCATTGTCCAGATGGGATAACCAAGGCTCGGAAACATTTGTCTAGGGTCGCACACATGTCTGTAGGTTCAGTACTTTACACACAGTAGTATGTTTGTAAATGTTTATTGTTCAGTCATTTTTCAGTCATGTCCGAATCTTTGTGACCCCATTTGAGATTTTCTTGGCAGAGATACTGGAGTGGCTTACCATTTCCTTCTCCAGCTCATTTGACAGATGAGGAAACTGAGGCAAATAGGGTTAAGTGACTTGTCCAAGGTCATATGTCTGAAGCAGGATTTGAACTTGAGTCTTTCTGATTCCAGGCCCAGAGCTCTATCCACTGTGCCACCCACTGGATTTATGGCTGGAGGAGGGGGAATCTAAGGATACTTGGGGCATGGTTTTGGCTGTCTCTAAGTATACTATACCATGGTGTATGATAATTGGGGGGAAAAAACCGTCTGGATTAGAGCTTTGGGTCCTGGTTCAAATCCCAGCTCTGCTGTTGAATATATGACTTAGCAAGGTCCTTTGCTTCTCAGTTTCCTCATCTGCAAAATGGGAGAGTTGGAGTGGATGCCCTCCAGTCTTGGTTTAACATTTTTTTAAAATATTTATTTTTAACATCCTTTAAAAAAATTTTGAGTTCCAAATTCCCTCCCTCCTTCCTATTCTTCTTCTAGCCATTGAGAAGGCAAGAAATAACATCAGTTATACAGGTGAAGTCATGCAAAACCTATTTCCTTATTATCTATGTTGGAAAAAAATAATGGCAAGAAAAAGAAAATGAAAAAACTCTGTTTCAGTCTGACGGCCCGAGTCCATCCACTGTCTCTGGAGGGGGGCAGTGTTGCATCATGAGGCCTTTGGACTTGTGGACCATACTATGGGATGACCATACTATGGTGTTAACTAACCCTGTGGTCCATTGATTTGTGCTAAATGATAGTAATAGCTAATACTGGCTAGCATTTGTCGAGTGTTTTAACGTTTGAGTGTGCCTTTATATATGCCGTCTCTTTGATCCTGGGAGACAGGTACTGTTTTATCCCCATTTTACAGGTGAGAAAACTGCGACTTAGAGCAGTGAAGGGGCTTGCCAATACCTAGCACAGCACCTTAACACAACCCTACTCAGACTGTGAGCTCTTTGAGAGCAAGGACTGGGTTTAGGTTTTTTGTGTTTGTTTGTTTTAGCCTTTCTATGTATCCCCAGTGCCTAGCACAGTGGTTGACACATAGTAAGTGCTTTATAAATGCTTGATGACTGACACATAGCTGGTGCTTAATAAATGCTTGATGACCGACTGACATACAGCAGGTGCTTAATAAATGCTTGGGGGGTTGCTTTCATTGTTAGGAGGTTTTCCCCTTATCTCAAACCTAAAATCTGTCTCTTTGCAGTTTCTACCCACTGTTTTTAGTTCTGTTCTCTGGGGTCAAGAGGGAGACTGGGAAGGAGGAATGGACTGATGATTTCAGTGGGATAGGAAGCTCTCAGTTCTAGCAGGTCAGCACCTGCTCTTCCACCTTCCAATCTCGGGGAGCCCTGAGAGCTTAAGGGGCTCACCTAGGGTCACACAGCCAGAATTTGTCAGAGGTGGGATTTGAACCCAGGTCTTTGAGGCCAGCTTGCCAGTCATTACGCATGCTGGGCATTCTCTTAGTCCGGTTGAATAATTCTAATTCGACTCTTGAGGGCACCTCTCATGTTCCCCCCACCTTCCCCCAAATCCCCTTTTCCTCAGTCACTCAGCCTCAACAGGCATCTATTAAGTGCCTGCTACATGCGAGGCACTGTGCTAAGTGCTGGGGTCACAAAGAAAGGCAAAAACAGACCATATGCAAATAATCATGTACGTACAAGGTATATGGAGTGTAAATGGAAAGGCTTCTCAGTGGGAGGCACTGGCCCTGAGGAGGATGCTGGACAGCCTGATGAAAGGGTTTGAGCTGAGCCTTGATGGAAGCTGGGAGAAAGGGCATCCCAGGCCCAGGGCGGGTGGCTGCATCTCCAAGGCTTTCACCTGATCCCCATTCAGTATGAGAACCAGCTCCATCACCGTCCTGGCTGCCCTCCTCTGCACACCTCCAGCTGGTCCAGATCTTCCCTAACCTGATCAGCCCAGAACAGACCCAGATGTGGGCCGAGCAGGACAGAGGCCATGCAAATATCACCTCCCTGCTCCCGCGTGCTGGGCAATCCTCCTTCCGTTTCCTCGGCTCTTAGCTCTAGCAGCGACCTGCCCTGCCTTTGTTTTCTGACCCGTCTCTATCCCGGGGCCAGATGCCAGTGGAGTTTCTGATGCTGCTCACGGTGCCTCTGGTGGACCTAGACAAGGACGATCGGAACTGGAAACGGCCCCTCAACTGCCTCCAACTGTTGATCAGCCCCGTGGTCTGTGTAATGACTCTGCAGTCTGGAGTGTGTGAGTGCCCCCAAACCACTGGTGCACCGTCCTCTGTCCCAATGGGGCTGCTGTCCTGAACTGCTATAACGATGATGAAACACTGACGATGATAATGATAATAACTAACATAATACACATGCTTTATATACATTGTCTCATTTAATCACGAAGGTGAGCATAGGGTGTACATACAGTAGGTGCTTAATATATGCTTATTGCATTAATGTTCCAAGACCAGGTTCCTGGCAGAGACCTTGGTTATAGGAGGAACTTCAGTGAGAAGAGGGCCTTTCAGGGTCAATTGGTTCATCCCTCTGCCTCCAGATAGGATTACATTCCAACCATCCCATGAAAACACCAGTCTTCAGAAAATAGAACCCTTCTCCGGTTCTCTCCGGGGCTGACTGTGTCCCATATAATCTGGTATCTTTTAGTGGTTGCAGCTGGGAATCCTTTCTGGACCCCTAACTTCAATTTGATTCCACAAGCATTTTTATTTTATTTTTAAATTTTTAAATTTTTTTTTTTTAAATTTTTTGTGAGTCCGTTGAGGTTACTTGCCCAGAGTCATACAGTTAGTAGGTGTCTTGGGGCTGCATTTGAACTCAGGTCCTCCTGACTCCAGGGCTGGTGTTCTATCCACTGCTCCACCTTGCTGTCCCCACAAGTATTTTAGAAATACCTCCTATGGACATGGTGGTGTGGTATAGTGGTTAGAGAGCTGCCCTCAGAGTCAGGAGAAGGCATTGTAAAGAGTGAACAGGTTGACCTTAGAGTCAGGAGACCTAGGTTCAAATCTTATCTCAGCCAACTGTGAGCTTTGTGATCCTGGGCAAGGAAGATGCTTGGACTGGAGAGGGGAAAGACTGGAGTCTGGGAGACCTGTTTGGGGACTTTTGTGGGTCTGGAGTCAAAGTATCTGGGTGTGAATCCCAATTCTCCCCCTTATTGCCTGTGTGACACCTTAGTAAGTTATGTCTATTCAGGTTTTCTTTCTTTCTTATTACTTAATTAAATATATTTATTGATCTATTTTTAGTTTTCAACATTCACTTTTATAAGATTTTGAGTTCTAAATTTTTACCTGCTCCCTCCCCAAGACAACGCGCAATCTGATGTAGGCTATACTTGTACAATCATATTAAACCCATTTCCAGGACATCTCCAAAAGTCTCATGATAGAAAATATTATCCACATCCAGAGAAAGAACTATGGAGTTTGAATGCCGATTGAAGCATCCTATTTGCTCTTTTTTTTCTTCTGTTTTGTTTTGTTTCCTTTTTCTTGTGGTTCCTCCTACTGGTTCTAATTCTTCTTTACAACATGAATAATGTGAAAATATGTTTAATAGGAAATGTATATGTAGAGACTATATCAGGTTGCACGCCGTCTTGGGAAGGGAAGCAGGGAGGAGAGGGGAGAAAATTTAAAACTCAAAAGCTTATGGAAGTGAATGCTGAAAAGTAAAAATAAATTTTAAAAATGTAAAAAAAATGTATTTTCATGTTAGTCATGTTGTGAAAGAAGAATCAGAATAAAAGGGGAAAACCACAAGGTTTTCTCCTCTTTAAAATGAGAGGGTTGTATTGAATGACCTCCAAGGTCCCTTCTGGGGCTAGGTCTATGAGCCTATGATAAGACCTGCCTGTGTGACCCTAGACCAGTCACTTACCCATCAGTGCCTCGGGCAGCTCTCTGAGACTCTTCAGTTGTAGAACAGCTATTGACCTGCATTGGTGGAGGGAGTTTGCTCACCAGAAGTTCCCTATACCAATTAAATCACAAGTCTGGACCCAAAAAAGCGCCAAGCCCTGGGAGCACAAAGATGGAAATGAGGTAGACCCTTCCCTAAAGGAGCTCTGGCCATAACAGGAACATAGATAAGTATAATAGAAGGCAGGAACTGGTATGAAAAAAGATCACTAGACAATCAATCAACAAACATATTTAAGTAAGAGGGATACCAAGGCCCTCAGTGGGCTTACATTCTAACAGTAAGGGGAGAAAAGCAAGTACTTATTAAGTACCTACTATGTGCCAGGCACTATGCAAAGCGCTTTACAAATATTATCCCATGTTATCCTGGAGGTAGGTGCTAATAATAATAATTATTATTATTATAATAATGCCTTATATTTTTATTTGTTGTTGCTCAGTTGTTTCAGTCCTGTCCAACTCTTCATGACCTCATTTCGGGTTTTTTTTGGCAAAGACACTGGAGTGGTTTGCCATTTCCTTCTCCAACTCATTTGACAGATGAGGAAACTGAGGCAAACAGGGTCAAGTGACTTGCCCTGGGTCACACAGCTAGTAAGTGTATGAGGCTGGATTTGAACTCAGGCTTTCCTGACTCTAGGCTCAATGTTCTAACTACTGCACTGTTTAGTTGCTCTGTATATTTTTATAGCACCTACTATGTGTCAGGCACCGTGCTAAGCACTTTATAATTATTATCTCATTTGATCCTTGTAACATCCCTAGGAGGTAGGTGCTGTTATTATGCCCATTTTATAGTTGAGGAAACTGAGTCTGACAGACATTAAATGACTTGCCAGGGTCCCACAGCCAGTAAGTGTCTGATGCTGGATTTGAAGTCAAGTCTTCCAGCCCCACCTAGCTGCCCCAAGGTAGGAAAGGTGTACAAGTTATGGACCAAGTGAAGATGGATGGCAGTCTCATCAGGGAAGGGCCTAGCAGCTGGTGACACCGGAAAGGGAAGGTGGATTTATATTTGAAGGAAACCAGAGGAACTCAGAGGGAGAGGTGAAAAGGGAACGTATTCCAGGCATGGGGGAACAGCCTGTGCAAAGGTGTGGAGATGGGAGAGGGTGAGTTCAATGAGGAAGAGCAAGCAGGCTGGTGTGGCAGTATGGCTGGTACCGTACTACGTACCACTACTCTGGCTGGTATAGAGGGAAGGGGGGTAAGCAGAAGATGGGAAAGGTGGGAAGACCCAGGTTATAAAGAGCTGCAGATGACAAGCTTTCTGTTTGATCCTGGGGGTAATAGGGAGCCACTGGCGTATATAGATTCCCGTGGAAGGGGGAGGAGCAGTGTCATGGCCAACCCTACGTTGTGTGTCAGCTGTGTAGAGGGAGGGTGGGTTGGAGGAGGCAGGGAGGCCTGTTAGAAGACTTTGGTGGTGATGTGGATAGAGCCCTGGATTTGGATTCGAATCACTTCCTACCTGTGTGACCTTGGGCAGCTCAGTTTTGTTCTCTGAGTCTCCGTTCCTTCCTCTGTGAACCTGAGGGGGTTTGGACCAGCTGACCCTCCAAGACCCTTCTTTCTGTCCTCAATCTGGGATCTTAGCCCCAGATACAGAGTGAAGGTCCTTACCCTCAGGGGGCTTACATTCTGTGCTGCTGTTTACAGCCTGCGTGGCCTTGGACAGATCACTCCTCCTGGGTGTCTGTGCCTCAGTGCCACCATCTGAAAAAGGGCAGGTGAGCTCGGATGGTCCTTCGATGCCCTGGGACTGCCCCAGGAGGATTTCACGGATCCGATGTTGGAGGGGCAGTCCCGAGTGTGGGACAGAGCTGGGAGTGCTGGGCCCCAGCCCCATGCAGGCCCCGCTGGTTTTCCTTTCCAGTCTCCCGTGGAGGGCTCTTCTAAAGGAGGAGCCTGCAAGGGGTTGACTTTCCCGGCTGCCTGCCCCCATCACCTCCTGCCTGGATGAGCTTCACAGATCATCTTCCCTCTTTGATCCCATCCTGCCTAGACTTCCCTGCTCTAAGGCCCTCAATGGCTCCCCATTGCCTAGGGCAGAGGTTCCTAGCCTTTTTTGTGAGCCAGTCTGGGCCCCTTCTCAGGATAATTACCTTAAATAATTGAAGGACATGCTAAATTTCAGTTAGAGGTTGCTCTGTATAGACATTGCCTGAGCTCAGGCAGTAAAGGTGGAGGCTCAGAGAATGACGTCCTCTCCAGACTGGAAGCCTGGGACTACAAGCACCAGGTATCCGAGGTGGCTCAGTAGACAGAGCGTTGGGCCTCAAGTCAGGGAGACCCGAGTTCAAATGTGACCTCAGACGCTGCCTAGCTGTGTTTCCCTGGGCAAGTCACTTAACCACCATTTGCCTCAGTTTCCCCATCTGTAAAATGGGGATCACAGTAGCACCCACCTCACCAGGTTGTTGTGAGGATCAAATGAATACTTGTGAAGTGCTTAGCACAGTGCCTAGCACATAGCAGGTGCTTAGTAAATATTCCCTCCCAGCACAGTGCCTGGCATATAGTAGGTGCTTAATAAATGCTTGTTACCTTCCATCATGGTGCCTGGCATACAGTAAGTGTTCAATAAATGCGTGTTCCCTCCCAGCACAGTGCCCAGCATACAGTAGGTATTTAATAAATGCTTATTTCCTCCCAGTACAGTGCCTGGCACACTAGTAGGGACTTAATTAATACTTGTTGAATTGATTGATTGGAAACCAGGTCCCTCCTGATTCTTAAGCCCAGCTCTGTACCCACTCACTCTGCCATCACTAAAGCCAGATGTTTTACGGCTGTCCATAAGGTATTTATATTGTTTACAGGTGCAGGGTGAGGATGTTTTCAGAGTTGGGGTGAGAGGCATACGGGCCCAGGACTGTTTTGTAATTTGAGTTAGGGGGAGAGGGAGGGGTCAGATTGTAGACCAGCAGGGGGGAGGGAGAGATTCTGTGCCCTGTCCTCTGCTTGCTCCAGGAAGGCTTCCTGGGGGCGAGCTCCCTTTCTCGCTTAGAGGTGCGCTCTGCATCTGTCCTATGAGTGCCCTTCTCTCTCCTCGCTCTCTCCGCAGATGGATTCTATGAGATCCAGGGCATCTTCCCCATCTGGGGGGTCACAGTGCTGGTGGGCACCTTTCTTGCCTCTGTTGTCTTCTTTGCTACCTCCAACGATCAGCCTCCCAGGTTTCATTGGGTAAGAAGACCCCTTTCCCCCCATACTGGCACCAGCTACTCGGAATTGAGACCCAGGAAGGTGAAGTGTGTTAAAATGAAATAAAGAAGCCGGCTATCATACAGACGAGTGATTTATTTTTCAGGGCGTGTCACTGTAGAAACAAATAGGGCCCAAAGGCTCTCAGTAGCACAAAGGACTCTGAACCCTGGTTATAATACAGTTAATATACATTTGGAGGGAGTGATAAACATGATGTAAGGATTAAGGCCACTTGGTTTCTTCTCGGTAGAAGGGTTGGGAAACATCCAGGTGAGAGAGAGGGACAAGGGGAGTAGTCTTGTGAAGTCACCAAAATCAGCTGATTCATATGGAGTTGACAATTAACAAAATGGTAGATAAAGGCAAAATGGAGTCACTAATGTCATTTTTAATGTAAGAAGGAACTAACAAGCATTAACTGAGTGCCTGCTGTGTGCTAGGCACTGTGCTTATCTCATGTGACTCTCACAATGATCCTGGGAGGTAGGTGCTATTATTATTCCCACTTTGCAGATGAGAAAACTGAGGCAGACAGAGGTTAAGTGACTTTGCCCAAACAACTATTAAGTATCAGACTGGATTTGAGCTCGTCTTCCTGACTCCAGATCCAGGGCTTTAATCACTGCGCCCCCTAGCGGCCTCACAGAGGTAGTGAATGTCTCTAAAGTCATGGGTGGGGAGCTGGACGGGAGCTCAGAGAGCAGTCGTTCCACGGGTCTTAACCTGGGGTCCACGAACTTGTTTTTTTAACAAAATATTTTGATAACTGTATTTCATTACTTGGTTTCCTTTGTTATTCTTTGAATTTCAATTTACTTTTTGCATTTTAAGACATTATTTCCGAGAAAGAACATTACATTTCACCAGTGTTACCTAAGGGGTCCAAGGGCACAGAAAAGATGTGAGAAATCCAGATCTGATCTCATTATCTCATTTTACAGATGAGGAAACTGAGGCACAGGTGACTTGCGCACAATCATGAGGGTAATATATGGCAAAGGGAGATTAGGGTTTAGACACAGTCGATCCAGTGTCCTTTCCATCACTCCCCACTGACTTGATTTCATTTGTATACTCTCCCCCTCTGCCTCCCTTCCTTCTGCCTCCCCCCATCTCCTTCCCTCTCTCAATTTTCTCTCTCCCCTTTCCTCTCTCTTTCTGTCTGTCTGTCTCTCCCTCTCCATCTCTTTTCTTCCTCCCTCTCTCTGTCTCTCCCCCCTTCCTCTCACTGTCTCTCTTTCTCTCTCTCCTTCCTCTCTCTCCCTCTCTCCCTCTCCATCTCTCTCTCCATCGCTCCTCCCTCCCCTCCTTCCCTCCCTCCTTTCCTCTTCTCTCTGTCTCTCTCTCTCTCTCCCCCCACTGCCTCCTCCCTCTCCAGACCTTTGCCTTCCTGGGCTTCTTTGTCAGCGCCCTTTGGATCAACGCGGCTGCCACTGAAGTGGTGAACATCCTTCGCTCATTAGGCATCATCTTCCAGCTCAGCAACACGGTCCTGGGTCTGACCCTGCTCGCCTGGGGGAACACCATTGGCGGTAAGGCTGTCCGCATGCAGGCCTGGCCTCAGACAGTTCATGTTCCATTTTCTGTTTTGTTTACTTGTTTAATGGTCTCCACTACATCATTCTAGTCGCTGGGTGTTTTCCTGCTTCTGATTACTTTACGTGGCATCATTTCCTATAAGTCTTCCCTTGTGTCTGTTATTTTTCATATTCCCACTTCTTCTTCTTCTTCTTTTTTTTTTTCTTGCTTTTTTGCTAAGCAGTGGGGTTAAGTGACTTGCCCAGCGTCACACAGCTAGTGAGTGTTATGTGTCCGAGGCTGGATTTGAACTCGGGTCTTCCTGACTCCAGGGCCGGTGCTTTATCCACTGTGCCACCTAGCAGCCCCTCATATTCCCACTTCTGAGCTAGCTGGGTGCCTCAGTAGATAGAGAGCTGGTCCTGGAGTGAGGAAGATCTGAGTTCAAATCCAGCTTGAGACACTATCTAGTTGCATGACTCTGGGCAAGTCACTTCACCTGGGTTTGCCCTAGTTTCCCCATCTCTAAAATGAAGATAATAACAGCACCCACCTCCCAGCGTGGTTATGAGGATCAAATAAAGTATTTGTAATGCACTTAGCATAGTGCCTGGCACATAGCAGGAGCTTAATAAATGGTCATTCTCTTCCCCACCCCCTAAGGAAGGGAGGTACGTTCCATTGTGAACCAAGGTTGGCCTCTTTAATTATGCAGTGTGATCCCTTTAGCATTTCCCCCACTTCCGTCACTGTTGTCACTGTGTTTACGGGCACCACGTTTTCCCAAGACAGCATTGGGGCAGGATCGCTGGGTCTGTCGGGAAAGCAGTGCCCCTCCCCCAGACAGGCCACCCTCCAGGCTTTGGTTGACCCAGGGAGCTGTGTCCCACCCAAGAACTTGAACCAAGCTTCTCTGACACCACCAGGGTTGGGAGATGGCTCATTCCGTGAGATCCTGCCTTTGTACCCACAGATGCACGCTGGCCGAGCTGAGGTCCCTCAGAGGCCTCTCAGATGAAAGAAAGTCCTTGGCTTGGCAGTTAAAGTCCTTCCCAATATGGCTCCCACCCCCTTCTCCAGGTTTATTCACTCTTCTCCTCTTCCTAAACTGCTTTTTCTAATCAAACTCTTCCACTCGTTCCCTGAACTTGACAGTCCCATCTCCCATCTCCAAGCCTTTGCTTCCCGTGTAAGAACCCCCTCCTTCCTCACCTTTGTCCCTTAGAGCCCTTGCCTTCCTTCGAGGTTTGGTTCTCCTGCCCCTTCTGGGAAGCCTCTTCTGAGCCAATGTTCCTACAGTCCTTTGTAGCCCCAGTTCTCTGAGAATTCTCTCCTAATCTCCTCTTTCCCTCCCCTCCAACCTTCATCTTGCTGTTGAATCTATGCCCCCTCCTGTACTCGGGGCAGTGTGGCATAGTCATAGCCCGTAAGACCCAGGTTCAAATCTTGCCTCTCCGGTATTTACTAGCGGTGTAACTAAGCAAGTCGTCTCATTTCTCTGCACCTCAGTTTCCTCATTTGTAAAGTGATGGGGTTGGACGGGATGGCCTCTGAATCCCTTCCAGTTCTACATCTGTTATCCCATTTGTTAGCCCGTTTCATTCCCTCCACTTATCACGTGTCTGCTCACGTTTCTGCGTTGTGTCCTTCCAGAAGAGTGCAGCTCGGGCTTCTTTTACCCTTCCTTTGGATCTGCAGCACTTAACGCAGTGCCCGGCTTACAGCAGGTGCTTAATAAACGCTTGTTGACTTGACTGGTATAGATGGATGGAGAGCTTGGGTTCATGGCCCCATCTTGAACCATTCTCTCCTTTTCTTGCAGATGTCATCTCGGATCTCACGCTGGCGCACCAGGGCTACCCACGGATGGCCTTCTCGGCTTGCTTTGGGGGCATCATCTTCAGTATCCTTTCAGCATCTGTACCCATCATTCAGTCTCCGTGGTAACAGGCCCTGGGATGGGGATGGGAGGAAGGGAAGGAGACAGCTCCTTGTTCTGCCTTCTGTCTCCTGGATGAGCTTTCCTGCGGACCCAGGAGAGACTCTTAGAGAATGGGATTGGAAATGACTTTTCAGACCATCCGTTATTATTATTATAATTTTTTTAGTTATTATTATTATTATTAGTAGTAGTAGTAGCAGCAACAGCAGCATTAGCAGTAGTAGTAGTAGTAGTAGTAGTAGCAGCAGCAGCAGTAGTAGTAGTAGCAACAGCCATAGCAGTAATAGTAGCAGTAGTAGTAGCGAGAGGAGTAGTAGTAGTAGTAGTAGTAGCAGCAGCAGCAGTAGTAGTAGTAGCAACAGCCATAGCAGTAATAGTAGCAGTAGTAGTAGCGAGAGTAGTAGTAGTAGTAGTAATAGCAGCAGCAGCAGTAGTAGTAGTAGCAACAGCCATAGCAGTAATA